AAAAATCTGACTTTTTCACCGAAATTCACTTTCTATGGTTCAAGAAAATAATCGAGTTTTGACTGAATGGCATGGGCTATATTTATTGCATGTATTTTTCTCTTGTATATTTTTTCCCCACCCCACCCCTTGTTTCCTTCAGCCCTCTCCCCTTGGGCCGCTAGCCTAGCAGGGTATTCCCCGAAAGGTCACATCAACACGAGGTTGTACAGGAAAAAGTATGGCGTCTGCCGGTAAGATATTCACAGACCAAGATAAAAAGGCATTTTACACCGTTCAAGAGGAGCAGGAAGGCGGTTTTTCAAAATGTTTGGGAATGTGCTTTAGAATGAACACCACGAAAGGTCTATTTGTTTGGGTTTCAACCAGCAAAACGTTCAAGAATAGTCCAAACCGGATTTTTGCCCAACGTTGTATTCCTTCAAAGAAGGAAGGGGAACAACCATTAATAACACCCGGGATAACATCTGAAGTGCACTCCAATAGTGGCCAAAATGGTAGTGTTAGTTTTATCAAGTGTAGTGGAAATGAGAATAAGAATTATCTCAGCTTTGGCTTCTACAACAATTTGCCAAATGACATTTCCGCGTATGTCTTCGACGAAGAAAATATTATCGAGCTGAAATTCGAAAAAAACTCTCATAGTCCCGAAGATTACAAACTAGTTAGTAGTCCTAAAACAGGTTTAAAAGTCAGTCGTAACTTCGATTTAAGTAGGGCAGTTGGGGCACCAGTTATGAAATCCAACTTCAAACCCGCACGAAATCAAGTTGTTGGTATACTTGACGTCAAAACAGATGGAAGTCTGTATCCAGTTTTCTTTAAGAAGAAGACATTTGATTTGGGTAAATACAATTTTTGTACAATTTACACAAAGTATTTATTTTGTAGAGATGTAGAGAAGGTATATTATTAACGTCTGTATTTTAGGGGAACCCTGCTCCCTTACCCCACCTTTTAATTATTAAGTTTTAATCTCTCAAAACACAGAATCTAAAGCTCTTCTCAGGCAAACAGATGAAACTGTAGAATCCGAAAATCCAATTACAGCTAATTCTTCATGTAGGTTTTTTATCATTTTTTTTTTTTCTTGAAATTTCATGTCGACAATTATTTAAGTCTTAAATGTATTTTTCACTCTTGGTATTTTATCAAAACAGGCCCAGAATTTGAAGACCAAGACAAGGAAACAAATACAGCTGCTCCAGGTTTGCTCTTAGCTTTTTACCAATTGATGTCTACAATATTATAAGTAATTTATTTAAAAATTATATTATCCTAAATATTTTAGAAAAAAAAATTATATATATATATATATATATAATATTTTTTTGTTTCACTATTATATTATAAAGCAGGCACAAAATCAGGAGATCAACACGGAAGCGACAACTTGGAAGCAACAACCAAGAATACAGATAAAACTGACAGCCCTAATGGCATTTCAGGTTTGGCTTCTTTATAATATTCTGATGGTATATCAATTACTTCAAGGTTTCTTGGGTAATTCAGAGAATCATTAGATTACAAGTTTGCCAATGCCGCTACAATAAATATCTGAATGTAATCATGAAAGATTTTTGCAGTGCATTAAAAAAATGTCACGTCTCTCAAAATGTTGGTGCATATAAAATCTGTCTAATTCATTTATTTTGAATYACTAGAATCAGCTGCCAAGGGTGGGCCAATAACCCAAGAAACAGAGAAGCCCAAGAAAGACAAAAAGCTCTCACTAGGTTTTTTRTTCAATAATTAATTATAATATTATATCTATATTTTAATGCACCCAGATTGACAGACAATCAATCCATACATKTGAACATAACAGGTATTCCAGGAAGCCAGTCATTTAACTTTTAATCAATYCCAAACAATCCAGGAAACAGTCATTGCAGCAGTGGACAATCATTCATGATAGTCATCTATATCCAGACA